TCGTCGGATCCGACTAACCCTGTCTTTAATCTTCTGACTTCGCCAAGACCTGAACTCGTAACCTCGCCCAGATGTATACTTTCAATCCCACAGATTCTACATCCCTTGTGCCAAGGCACAAAATTATCTCAAACACTTGCACTTATAGAATCAGAATCCCCGCCATGGTCTAGAACACGAGTCACCAACCGCGGTCTGCATCCGGACCGTGAGCTTGTTTTTTGCGGACCGCCGTTAAATTCAAAACATAGTAATAAAATTATAGTGTAAAATTATTAACAAATCTAATAAGGAAATGTTCTAAAGCTTCTTGACGCATTTCCTGGACGCTTGCCAAACATATGAAGCCATTTAGTGACGCGGCTATCGTTAAAGAGTGTTTTCTGGAAGCCAGAAATTCATTATTTGAAAATAAAAAGGATACACAGGTATTGGCAGATGAAACATAGAAAACGTTAAAACAAATCTTGGCTGTCAATAAATATTTTGCTTTGGCATTGGATGAGTCCTGCGACATTACAGATACAGCACAGCATGTCATTTTCATGCGTTACATGGACAGAACCAGTGAAGAGTTTGTTGAACAAATTTTTATTACTGTTTTACCATTGTCAGAAACTACTACAGGAGAGGATTTACACAAGGCTGTGGTGGACTATTTTGGCAAGGATAGTGTGGATTTAAAAAAATTATTTTGATCCCCTCTTCGAGCCTCCAGGTTATCTTCCTAAAAGAGGTGGCCTAGTTACCTGGTTTCAACTACGTAACCAGTATGATCTCCTGAGGGCGGGTTACAACTACTGGAGGGTTTCTGGGTAACCTCCCCCGGTAACACCACTACCTGGTTTAGTTCTAAGTGTCCGGACCGCGGAAGTGTAATAGATTTTCGAAACGGACCCTCAAGGAATATAATTGGTGATCCCTGATCTAGAACACCTCCTTTTATAACACTTCCCTCTGTAAATTTAATAAGCAACAAACAAATACTATCATTTTTCTTTCAAGGGTATTGTGAATACATCCCACTGTGATAAGGTGCTTTATATCGATGTATCCCGAAACGCAGACGGAGTTGATTGTTCTGTCAGTACAGTATTAGGACAATATCGAATATCCAATGAATGTAGCATGTTTTCAGGAGCACCCTTCAGTATTTCAAAAGCTCTCGAGTTCCCTTTTGACAATCATCAAAGTGTAGCTCTGTGCACAGATTCCTTATTCGTAATTCATTCGTTAGACAGTATTTACAATCAACATTAGCAAGTGCAAAAATACTAGACTCGATCCATCTCCACACTTCCCGAGAAGCTTCAATAACAATAATATGGGCGCCTTCTCATATCGGCATCCAAGGAAATAAGGTGGCTGACAGCGCTGCAAAAGAAGCATGTACATCCAACTTACCCATCTGCAACATGAAGCTCCAAAAAGATATAAAATCAAAATTCCATACATGACCAAACACTAGTCGAAATAAAACAGCAAATACAGTTGAATAAAACTCAGCCACAGAGTATGGGAAAAAGCTAAAAGAAAAGCAGAGCCCCGAGAGCACTAAGCACTCGGAGAGCCCGTGAGGGACTGACCTGGGGTCAAAATCGTTGTCACCTCGGGGTAAATGAAAAGGGTCTAAATCACCTTCTGTACCACCGTGTGCTCTGTAGAGGGCTTCGAGAATGTCTACGATAGCTCCTCTACTAAAGTCCATTTTCAGGGTATGGACTCGTAAATGTTTTCTTCTGGTATCTTGCCTTGAAAAAGGCAAGATATTTCTTACATGACAAAGGTTTAGTCGAAATAAAAATACCAGGTTGCAGTAGAATAACATCTCCAGCCACAGAGTATGGGAAAATCTAAAAATAAGAAAGTAGAGCCCCGAGAGCACTAAGCTCTCGGAGAGCCCGTGAAGGACTGACCTATTGACCTGAAAATCGCCTATTTTTATACTTTCTGAAGTAGCGATTAGGGATTTCCAGGTCAGGGAGGGGCCAACGGGAAAAATAAGGGGCGGGGCGATGCGTCTCGAACGTGAACTAGTCGCGTTCGAGAACATCCCCCCTCCTCTGGAGGCTCTGTGGCTGGGAAAAAATTTATTGAATACCAAAACTTTACAATGATAAGAATAATACATAAAAATGCATGAAATATATGAAATAAAATACATGAAAATATAAATAAAGTAAAAAATGTCTTTGAGAACTCACAACACAGCATTAATAGGGAGGTCGGTGGTGTTGACGGCATCTCTGGCTCCTGCAGGTCCATCCTCGATCGGTGTGCTAACTTCTTCGATGGGTTCGTCTTCTTCTAGGTCGTCCGGATCCCATCTGCCATATCCGACGGGGTTTCGTAGGGTACCAGTGTGCCGAAGCCTACGTGGTCGTCCAACCACTTTCGGTAGGGGGGCGATGACTGGGTCTACTCCGGGACTTTCATCGGCATCTGGGGCTTCTAACTTCGAAGAAGGCTGGCTCGTCAAAGGCGCCTGCACGTCGAAGGCATCCGGTCTGCAGAAGGCCTCGATGTCGGAGTGTTAGCCAACACTCCGTGGTTCTCCCCATCCTTCTCTTGACTTCAACCCAAGTCAATGGTGTTCTGTGAATCGATCTGGGTCGTGGGTACGTTTTAACCACGTTGTCGGGCGCCATGTCACCTCGGGGTAAATGAAAAGGGTCTAAATCACCATCTGTACCACCGTGTGCTATGTAGAGGGCTTCGAGAATGTCTACGATAGCTCCTCTACTAAAGTCCATTTTCAGGGTATGGACTCGTAAATGTTTTCTTCTGGTATCTTGCCTTGAAAAAGGCAAGATATTTCTTACATGACAAAGGTTTAGTCGTAATAAAAATACCAGGTTGCAGTAGAATAACATCTCCAGCCACAGAGTATGGGAAAATCTAAAAATAAGAAAGTAGAGCCCCGAGAGCACTAAGCTCTCGGAGAGCCCGTGAAGGACTGACCTATTGACCTGAAAATCGCCTATTTTTATACTTTCTGAAGTAGCGATTAGGGATTTCCAGGTCAGGGAGGGGCCAACGGGAAAAATAAGGGGCGGGGCGATGCGTCTCGAACGTGAACTAGTCGCGTTCGAGAACATCGTCTATATTTATATCCGGTGTTCGAGCGATAAATAGGGATTTCCAGGTCAAGAACCAATGGGAAAATTCGAGGCGTGGCGATGCGCATCGAAGTGCGTACTAGTCTTGCGACTATGGCACTCGATGACAGCCTCCGTAGTACAAAGCGGCGTCAGTTTCCGTTTCAGCTTACAAGCGAAGCAGTAACATCTCCAGAAGATGCTAACCCCTAGTGTTGGCGAAACGTCGAGAGCTAATCTCAGAAGACAGCGGCCTAACAGCCCGAATAAACAGTTTAACATATGGTAAAACCACTGGCAAAAATCAGAAACCAACTAAAATGTAATATACCCACAAGTAAATACCATTTTAAATAACACTTAAAGCAAAAGAAATTAAAAGTAATTATTAACCGCTGGAAAATTAGCCATACTGCACGAATAAACACATATTTAATTAAAAATGAGCCACCACCAATATTCATCAACAGCTCCATTCCACTAAAAATAAAATGCATCTTGCTTGACTGCATGTACTTCTCGAAACAAAGATCCCATAGAATCACAATTGACCTTAAAACCATCCTAACCAATATATTTGAACAAAGTTAAATTATTTAAAAGATATACAAAAGTAGTACAATAAGTTTTAATATAATAAAACTAAAATCCTTATGTATATAATCTCACTAATAACTGCGTAGTTGATGTGCGCAAATACAAAAATAATGAACGATTTGTATCTTTGTTATGTGCGCAATGTGGCATTCAATATTTTAACAAGTAAAAATAAGTATTTTCGTGTCGTTATCATACAAAGAGATAAGATTTATTTTTCCGGGTTCTAGAGGTAAATACACATCAATAATTTGTTCATAATAGTAATTTTTAAGTTTATTTTTTAACCGTAAAAAATGTTGCTTTATGGTAAAAAACGTATTGCTTAATTTTTCCTTTTCATTGGTTTTAAGAGGCATTTCAACTTCGTGTAAGCGTATAGCGTCGTTGTAAGTGCGAGCGTCATTAACGAGAACAAGGGGTCCGTGTTGAAAAAGATTCATTTAGGGGATGATTTTTGAAGAGTAAGGCAGCAATTAATAGATCAATATCAGGTAATCAGAAACCAGTATCAGCGAGGTAATATTTCAATTCGTATGGAATTTGAAAATCGGTAGTCCATTGAAAAGATACATTAGGGTTGCATTTTTGAGAGGACGCAATTTTATTTTTTTTATGTGTTGGGGGGTAAGAATAAGCTTAAGTTCAAGTTTGTGGGGTCACCACCCTTGTCCCCCGGCCGCTATCCTGGAAAAAGGGGCTCAAAGGCTTTTCGCTCCGTATCTCATAAACTAGAAACGATACAGAAAATTTTGTCAAAAATTAGTTGAAGCAATTAAATTTATTTATATTAGTTTTAATCGTAAAACGGAAAATAAAAAAGTTATAAACAAAAATAACTAAAAATTTTCGAACAAATTTTCTTTTGTGCATTATAACTTTTTGTCTGGACATTTTACAATAAAATGACATGAGAGCAATATTATAGGGGGTTTTACAAAGAATAATTTTCACTACAAATTTGTTTAATTTAAGTAATTTCTTTGGATTTTACAGAGTTCCGAAGTTGACCGGCTTCTCGAATACTCTTCGGATAAGAGGTACAAAGATATCTCGTAAACTAGCAATCCTACAGAAAATTTTATTCGACATTATTTATAGAAAATTAAATTATCTTCAAGTTTATTTCTATTACTTTTTATCGTACAAGCAAAAGCTTTCTCCTTTTGCTGTCCATTGATGTATACATACGCTATTCATTATTCTTAATATTTTTGAGCTATGCAACACCTTTAACAACTTTATGCATTGTTAGTAATGTACATTAAAATTAAATTAACCAGTAAACAATATATCTATACTGTCATTGATAAATGAAAAAACAGGTTGTTTAATTTTCGAAATAATTATTTTGAACAAATTTGATAAAGAATCAGTATTGCTCAAAAAATAAATAATATTGTTGCACAGAACGTTACAGCGCAATCTCTCCATTTACCTAAAAGTGGGAATAAATTAAAATACGTGACAGTGATAAAAATAAACGCAAATATTCATTGGTTTGTTGAATACAATATTTCTTCTAATTTAACGTTTCTTTATATGCATCGTAATTTGTGATTATATTTTTATATTAAATTTTTTAACATAATTAACAGTTACTGTGCAGTCTTTCCAGAATATAAGTATTGGAAGTATTGATTTTTTTAGTTATTAACCTGTCTTTTCTACCACGTGGGACTATTCTCGTTAATTTAAATGGTTAAAAACGAGCAAAATCACTCAAATGTAAGTACATTATTCAATGAAGTTCGATTTTAGTGCACGCAACCTTTTATTGGCTATAAGAAGACTTATAAATACTTTTTAATCACATTAAGATTTTTTTCATGTACCGGAACACGTTTTAGATATTGTTTGTTGAACACATTTTGAATGTAACATTACAAGGAATTACGTTATTCAAATTTTCAAAAATCCGAAAAGTTAGCATTTTATTCAAGTTAAATATTTTCATTCATTTTTTCTTCAGAATATGGGTGACCAAAATCATAATCATAATGAAATGGACATGGATCTTGAAGACGGTCTTTCTGCTGAAGACATGATTAACAAAGGAAGTGGACTTACGTACAAGTAAGTGTTCATATTTTGTCGACTTAACAAAATTTAGAATAAAATTAAATAATCTCTTAAGTTATAAATTCTTAATGTACATTCTCTAACAAATCAATAATAAATTATTAAATTAAAAATTAATATACGCACTTAAAAAGTTCAATAAAAATTGTACATAAAGTTTGCACTAGATTTTGGTTTAAGCTATTTTATTTGATTAAATAATTAGCATAATAGGCATACAAAGTTTTTTTATAACAAAGCTTACTTTTATAAACACGCAAATATTTTTTTTCTTTGCTTGCAATCAAATAAAACCTTTAATAAATATGAATTATGGAGGAATTAATCACAAATTGTCTCATATACTTTTGATTGTAAGAGAAAAACTAGCTAAAACCCATTAATTTCAATTTCAAATTTATGTTTTGTCAGACTTATTTGTTGTGTGTGTGTGTGTGTGTGTGTGTGTGTGTGTGTGTGTGTGTGTGTGTGTGATGGCGTTACACATGAGAGATAAGAAGTGATAAAATAACATCATATTTGCTCTTATTTTTTGTATTAACAACCCTACATACAACCAGATCGACTTGAGTTTTAAATCTAGATATTGGTCTGCCTCTCTTCCTGGTTACTACTGGCTCTTGATATAATATCTGTCTTTGGGTGTCTCCAGCGTCCATTCTTTCAAGGTGTCCTAGCTACCTTAGTCTATTAATTTTAATAGACGGGACAATGTTACATTTTTCATAGCATTGATACAACTCCAAATTGTAGTGCCTGTGCCATATGCCGCTTTCTTGTACTCCTCCATATATGTGCTTAAGTATTCTTTCAAAGCGGCCCTGACCTAACAGTTCTTTGTCACTTTTTACCATAGTCCATGTCTCTGACGCATATGTCAGGACAGGTTTAACAAGAGTTTCATATATTAGTATCTTTGTTTTTCTGCTAATTATGTGTGATGTTAAGAACTGCTTTAGTCCAAAGTAAGCTCTGTTCGCCAAGTATATTCTTCCCTTAATTTCTATGCTTACTAGGTTGCTGTTATTTAGTTGTGTTCCAAGATATATAAACTCTGAGACTTCGAATGTGCGTGCTTCTGTCACCAGATCTTGTGGTGCCGCTATTTGTGTGCTGTTTGTGACCTTCATGTATTTTGTTTTGAATACATTGACCTGCAGTCCCATTGTCTTCGCGGCTTTTTCTAATGTTTCAAAATCCTGTATAGGTCTCTTTTTGTTCTTGTTACTATGTCAACGTCATCTGTGTAGGCCAATATCTGTACACTTCTATTGATGATCGTACCTCTAGTTGTTATGCCAGATTTCTCTTTGGCTCTTTCTAGCGCGATGTTAAACAATAGGCACGATAGACTGTCTCCCTGGCGTAATCCAGTATGTGTTTGAAAAGACCTTGACACTCTGTTTTGTACCTTGACTTTGCACTCAACTTTCGAAAGAGTTGCCTTTACCAATGTTATTAGATGCAATGGAATATCTAGTTCTGCCATTGCATTATAAAGTGCGCTTCTGTCTACACTGTCATAAGCGCTTTTAAAATCTATGAAGAGGTAGTGGGTATCAATTCCATATTCATATGTCTTTTCTAAGGTTCGTCTGAGAAGGAAAATCTGATCAATTGTTGATCTTTCTTTTCAGAATCCACATTGGTATTTGCCTATCTTTTCCTTAATTTATACTAGTAAACGATCATAAAGTATATAAGCGTATTTAAGAGGGTAATGCCTCAACAGTTGTCACATATTAGTGGATCCCCTTTCTTGTGAATAGGTATTATAATACCTACATTCCAACTGTTTCGGAGTTTTCCTTCTCTCCAAATGGATGCAACCAGTTTTATTATGCATTTTTTTAGCGCATTTGCTCCATACTTGAACAGCTGAGGGGGTTCTTCTTCTCCAGGGTATTTGTTGTTTTTTAACCTTTTTATTGCCTTGGCAACTTCTTCTTGTGTTGGATTATTATTTCTTTCCCTCTCATCGTATATGTCTCCACTATGGTCATTTATGTCAGTCACTTCTTAGTTGCCTTATTTCTCAGCAAAATTCTCCGCCCATATATCCACTATTTGATCCGGCTCATTGATAATTTCGGCTTCCTTACTTTTTATTATGGTTATTCTAGGTTTAAATTCTTTTCTATTTTGGTTCACATTTTTATAAAATTTTCGCGCTTCGCATTGTGAATTCAGCCCTTCTAGTTCCTGTATTCTGTATCGTTTCCTGTTTCCTGTATCGGGTGGAGAAACAAATTTAGTGTAAGCGATTTAAAACGCATAGCAACGTGGAATATAAGAACACTTTATGAAGCAGGAAAATTAACAACAGTCATGTTAGAAATGGAGAGATTAGACATACAAGTATTGGGCCTTTCAGAAGTCCGATGGCCAAAGTCTGGAAACTACACCAAGGATAATAATGCTATTTTCTACTCAGGCAAAAGCACTGGAGAACACAGCCATGGTGTTGGTATTATTATCAACAATAACTTAAAAGAGTTTGTGACAAATTTCATTCCCTTTAACGAACGTATGATGCTACTTCAGCTGAAAGCCAAACCTCTAAACATAAATCTAATCCAAGTGTATGCTCCAACATCTGATAGCAATGATGCTGAGGTCGAAAAATTCTACGCGGACTTAGAACTGTTAACAAAAAACATAAAGAAGCAGGAGGTAAAAATAATTATGGGCGACTTTAATGCTAAAGTCGGTCGAGGAAAAACTGGAAATATAGTAGGAAATTTTGGGTTAGGTAAAAGAAACGAAAGAGGAGACAGACTAGTCCAGTACTGCCAGGAGAAAGAATTAGTCATAACAAATACATACTACGACCTACCCCTACGAAGATTATACACGTGGACTTCTCCAAAAGATAACACCAACAATATAATCAGAAACCAAATAGATTTTATAACGATTAACAAAAGGTTTCGTAATGGAGTACAAAGTGCAAAAACCTATCCAAGCGCAGATGCAGATACGGATCATAATCTATTACTAGCAAACGTCAACATTAAACTCAGGAAACCGGAGAAAAAAGTTAAAACCACCAAAATTAACATCAAAAACCTAAAAGACGACAACTGCCAACAGCAACTAAACGCAGAGATAAATAAATTAACTGAAGAAAGCGTTGAATGGGCAGATATGAAAAAAGCCATACTAAAAGCTTGAAAGGAGGTCCTAGGCGAAGAAGAGAAAATAACTAAAAAGACTGGATGACACCGGAAATAGTTGAGCTAATAACTGAAAAAAGAAAATACAAAAATAAAGATGAAAATAAATATAAAACCATCAAGAATAAAATCAAATATGAAATCAGAAAGGCTAAGGAGGAGGAAAATAAATAATGAACAACTAACTCTTGGTGGACAGCAAATAGAGAGAGTGACAAAATATAAATATCTGGGAGCTTACATCAACACAGAATTAGATCCAGACCAAGAGATCCGGGTACGAATAGAAATGGCAAGGGCAGCGTTCTTAAAATTCAAACAATTGTTCTGTGACAAAAATCTGAATATTGCGCTGAGACTGAGGTTTGTTAAATGTTACGGTCCCAACCATTGTACGGGGTAGAAACATGGACACTAAAAGCGCAAATAGTTAAAAAGATTGAAGCCTTTGAACTTTGGATATACCGGAAAATGTTGAGAATCCCATGGACTGCCAGGGTCACCAATGAGGAAGTGCTGAGAAGAATGGGTCGAGTCAAAAAATTGTTGAGAAGGATAAAAGTACGCAAGACTGCATACCTTGGACACATACTAAGAAATAATAAATATAGTCTTCTGCAGGTCATCATGCAGGGTAGAGTCGATGGCAAAAAGGGAATAGGTAGAAAGAGGAAGTCATGGCTGCGAAATATTCGAGACTGGACAAACATGACTGTAGACGAATTATGCCACGTTGCAAAAGACAGAGAAGCTTTTAAAAATGTGGTCGCCAACCTCCGTTAATGGGGACGGCATAGGAAGAAGAAGAAGAAGTTCCTGTAGCTGGTTTTCTAAATGTCGTTTTTTCTTTTGTTTTAATATCTTTTTCTCTGCTTGTCTCATCTGTTTGTACTCCTCTTGATTTTGTCTTGTCCTCCTGTTTTGGAGTTTTCCATACTCCTGATTCTTTTTTTGAATTGCCTGTGCGCATTCCGCATCATACCATTCTGTCCCCTTCCTTTCTTGTTTCTTCTTTCCTAAAACTTGTTGCTACTTCTTTCTTCTGGTTGTCTTCTAGTTTTTCTTAAAGTGTGTGGTCAAATTTTCTAACTATCTCAGGGTTTCGTAGTCTGTCCACCTCGAATTTATCTTCTTTGCTTCCTTTACCTTTTTTTTAGTTAGAGATACGTGCCCTTAGTTTAGCCTGGACCAGGTAGTAATCGGAGTCAATGTTTGCTCCACGTCTGGTACGTAATTTCATAACATCGCTGTAATGTCTTGCATCCACAACAACATGGTCAATTTGATTGATTGTGTTACCGCCTGGGCTAACCCAAGTCCTTTGTGTATATGTTTACGCTCAAAGCATGTGCTGGCTATCACCATATTCATTGAGGCTGCAAGGTGTATTAAGCGTGTTCCATTGTTGTTCGACTCGTTATGGAGGCTGTGTCTTCCAATGGTGGGTAGGTAATCGTTTTCTTTTCCTATTTTGGCGTTGAAATCTCCCAAGTACAATTTTTATATCATTTCTAGGGCAGTTCCATATTATTTTTTTCAGTTTTTCATAAAATTCTTCCTTCTCTTCGTCTAGCTTATCTTCTGTGGGTGCATTAACTACTGAATATTTGAATATTTTCTCCTAATTCTTATTTTCTGTCGCTTATGGCTTCTGTCTATTACTAGGTGCTTCACTTTGCTGCTGACTATGAATCCTGTTCCAAGTTTATGCTCTGTTGGGTGGCAACTATAGTACATTGTATATTTCTTTTTCTCGAATATTTTTTCCCAACCACCTAACTTCTTACTATATGTTACTAATATACCTACACCATTTTTGTGATGCGGGTCTTCTGTGCTGTTACCGGAATAATATAATACACTTCCGTCCTTTTTAAATGATCCTGACTCTGGCCATCTCATTTCGATAATTCCTATTAGGTCTATTGATCCTTTACCGTCGATATATTCCAGTAGCGTCCTCTGTGAGTGAACGAATGCACCAATATTATTCAAATTTTGTAGCAAAATAGAACACTTTTAAACATAATTATATGCCTAGAAAGCGTGTAACGTGAAATTCTTGACTTAGACCACTATGGTTTTCAACGAATCAAATATGATTAATAAATAAAGTTATAATTGATGGATTCGACCGTTACTTGATGGAAATTCATTTTATGTAACAATAAAACACTGAAAACTTTGTTTTCAAACTTCCACAAAATTTATTTTAAATATTATCACTACCTATTAAAACTATTAAAAACTATTAAACTATTAAAACTATTAAAACTAAATAATCTAATTTCCAATAGTAAAAAACCCAATATTCATTATACAAAAAGTTTTTCGAACCATACTTTTTTCAATAAATTTAACAGATACTAAATTTAGTAACAGCGAGATACTACTTTTAGAGAAAGGATTTAAACACAACTTGCCCCAACATAATAATGAGAGAACTTTAGAATATTTAGGTGTAGAATGTGAAGTAGCGTTAAACAAAACTGCCAACAATATCGAAAAAAGTATAATTGCCAAATCTATTACAGATGTGTGTAGTGAAACTAAAAATTCCTGTTACAAAGAGAATAAAACAGCAATTTCAATTAAAAATAAATCAATAGAAAACAACATTGTGTTTACAAAAGCAGACAAAGGTAACACTACTATTGCTATAGATAAAATAGAATATAATAACAAAACAATAGAATTCTTAAATAATCAAAATATTGAAACTTTACACAAAGATCCGACAGAAAAATATCAAAAACAAATTAAGCTAGCGTTAGAAAATTCAAAATCAATACTAAATCCAATAGAACAGAAATACCTCAATATTATGAACCCACAGCCTCCTAAAATATATTGTTTCATTAAACTACACAAACCGGATCACCCAATAAGACCTGTAGTTTCTTTTTATACAGCTCCGTCATATAAAATTTCAAAAAAACTGTTAGAGATTATTTTAGACCACACTAAATTTTCACCTAAATTTACCATAAAAAATACAATAGAACTAGTTAATAAAATACAACATTTTCAATTACCTAACAACTCCAGATTAATTTCATTTGACGTAAAAAATCTTTTTCCTAGTATCCCTCCTACAGAAACTTTTATTCTAGTAAAAAACCTTTTAGACCAAAATAGTACAAATCCAATAATTACATCTGAAATTTTACATCTTCTTGAAGTTTGCATAAACCAGGACTACTTTGAATTTAATAATAAAATATATACAAATAACAGTGCAGGACTTATAATGGGTAATCCTCTAAGGCCATTGTTATCAGATATTTTTATGGATCATCTAGAGACAAAGATTTCAAAACATCCCGTATTCAAACAGTTTTTATATTGGTGGAGATACGTAGACGACGTACTGGTATGTTTCACAGGAACTAACAGGCAACTCGACCAATTTTTATCATATATTAATTCACTTCATAGTCATATTGAATTTACAATAGAAACAGAACAAAATCAATCCATAAATTTTTTAGATTTAAAAATTAGCAGACTTCAAAACAAACATGACTTCTCCATATTTCATAAACCTACCAATACTGACATGACTATACACAATTCGTCATCCCATCCAACACAACATAAACTGGCAGCTTATCATAGTATGTTACATAGATTAACAGAAATTCCGATGTCAAAATACAACTTTGAGACAGAATTAAATATAATTAAACAAATAGCAGTAAACAACGGAACGGATACAACGAACACACAATTAATAAAATGTTAAATCAAAAACTACAGAAGAAAGCCCTGAAATTAGTATTTCCACCATCAAAGAAAAAACCCAGTACCTTCTGCTCGATTACATATACAGGCAAAATAACAACAAAAATTGCCAAACACATAAAAAAGAAAAGAATAACACCAGCTTTCCGAACAAATAACAACCTAGGCAAATATATTAAAAATAACAAGAGCCAAAATAAAAAACACTTAAATAGTGGTGTGTACAAACTTCAATGTGGCGACTGCCCAAAAACTTACATCGGTCAAACTGGTAGAAACTTTGATAAACGAATAGTAGAACATAAAAGGACTTTCAAGAATAGAAAAACAGATTCGACATACGCACTTCACCTTCTAGATCATAATCATTCTTTTAATGACAAATTTAAAATTCTTCACATTCAAAATAAAGGCCTTAAGCTATCTTTGTTAGAATCTATGGAAATCAACAAATTAAAAAACACAGATATAATTCTGAATGACCAACTTGAGACAAACAGTTCTCCCCTCCTCAACCTATTTCATTAGAGACTATAAATTTGTAAACCCAAGCCAAAATAGATCACTCGAGAAAGGCAATCAGCCGAAACAGCTGTAGTGATAATATTTAAAATAAATTTTTTGGAAGTTTGAAAACAAAGTTTTCAGTGTTTTATTGTTACAAATAAAGTTATATTTTAATAATACAATGATATTTATGAGATTTAAAAAAAACTGTATTTTGGTTGAATTTTATTTGGTGTTCACTGCACAAGTGAACCAATGGAGAAACCGCCCCTGATAATAACATTTATCGTATTTTTATTGCAAAATTATACAAAACGACGCAGCTACTGACTACGGGATGTACAAATCTTTTCTTAAGTCACCTTTGATTGCCATTTTTTATTTATTTATTTAAAATATATAAAATTATAAGTAAATATAATTATAAATAAATGTTATTTATAAACATTATTAAATTGATATTAAAAAAAAAATGTTTGTATATACCCTTATTACATTTTGAACAAATCAGTTTTTTGGTTTTAAAGAAATTATTTTTAGAACAAAAAATTTCATAAAAATATATTATTAGGTATATTATAAGAAATTATAACTTATATATCGTATATGTGGTTTCAACAATTGATAGCGGGTGCGGAAGTCTAAAGTTATTGTTAAAAACTCTTCGGAATCTTATAAAATGGAGTTTTAGGTTTAATTTGATGATTGCTCAACATAGAACATTAATTTTTCACTTATCGAGTTATCAAGCCTTGAAAATGCCTATTTTTGCGCTTTTTTTCTAAGCTTATTAATTATCAAAGATAACAAGTTTTTAAACATTGCAAATATTTATTTTTCAGCGACTTTATAATCCTTCCTGGATATATTGACTTTCCCCCATCAGAGGTGGTAAGTAAGAGATACTTTACTGCTATTTTATTGTAGATTAATAGTACGATTTTATTTGAATACGTTTCACTTTTACTTTTAAAAGCATCATCAGTTCACTACAAATAGAAAAGATTTTAGAATATAAGTAAACAACCAACAGGGTTCATACTTACAAAAACAATTTGTAGGTTTTTTTAGATGTTATAAAAACTCTACGATAACTTTAACAAGTATTGACAGGTAGCTGAGATTTTTTATGATTTGTGTATGAGCCGCAAGTGCGTGAATTATTCGCTGTTAGAAGTAAATCGAAATACTTGTCACCGTTCAATGTACTGTCAATAAAAAATGGACCCAGAATTAATTACCAACTGTTCACGTTCACACGTTAACTATCAGTAGATACTAAGTGTCCCCTTCTACCGCCCAGTGAGGGTTCTCTTGTGCCCAGTACCTACAATTCTGCCTATTTACTGTACCTGTTGAAGGCAGCCTCATCTGAGAAAACACGTTCCCGTAGGAACTGTGGATCATGAATACATCAATCCATCATTAATTCACAAAATTCTTTGTCTGCGATCGTAATCTTCTTTCTTAAGTTCATGAATCACTTGCTCTTTATACGGGTGCCACTTATTCTCTTGTAGAGACTTTAAAACAGACATTTGACATATCGATTGCTTCATTGCAATTTGAAAGCTAGGTTTATGAGGATTTTCTTGTACTGATAATATTAAATCCAATTGTTGATCTTGCGTAACCTGGACGACCTTTCGAATATTTATTAACGACGTTTTTCTAATACGCCAAAATTTCTAAATTTTGCTTCGATTTTACTTATCTTCGATTGTGTAATAGGTCTATCGGGATATTTACTGTTATAGTATATTTGAAGAATAAGCTGGAGTAAATTCTCAGAGTACTAATCTTCGCACCTCGATATATATAGGCGTGCAGATCTTCTAACTAAAACGTAATCTTAAAGAAAAGTTTGCGTCAAATTTATTTGGATATTTAGAACAAAGTAATTAATCCAATCCAATACTGGTTTAAAATTAAAAGATACACATAAAATGAATAAAAATTCTATTATTTGTGAAACATACAGTTAATATAAAATAATAAAATACAATAAATTATACTGAAACGTAAAATACATACACAAAAACTGTAAGTTTTTATATATTATTATTAATAAATAATAATATTCTTAATACTAATAATATTGGAAATAAGAATGAAAATTATATTAGTAATAAAAAATAAATAAAAAATAAACAATGAAGTTGTCGGCAATTAGTTCAAATGTAAAATAAACTTCTGAGCTACAGTTTAAAGTTAAGCTTCCTCATATTCTGTTTTAGACGAAGTGTTATCCGATCCGGGATGAATTATTATAGGTTCTATACTGCTATCTATTATATGATCAAGTTCCCACATATTTTTCTCAATATCCATAACGTGATTAATACATTTTTGCCAATGTTCAGTCGTTACTTCGGATATTGATTTATGAAAAACAATAGTAACATCTGACAATTTAAAAGTTGTATTATTTCGAGCAACGTTACTTTTATAGTGTATTTTTATGTATGAGAGAGTAATAAAACAATAAATTATGTATGCAAATCCCTAAACTGTTAATACGGGTGACTCAATGAAAAACAGATATTTGTCAACAAGTTTACAGAAGTATATAGGAAAACAATTTTAAATTGAGTATAACCACCAGGTATAAAGGTTGGAGCAGAATAGACTACAATAGTTGTGAGGGTTACTAATCCCTAAATAAGGTTGCCAGTGTCGGAGTGATGGAGGTTAACAGGTACTAATGAATTTGCAAGAAATGTAAGATGTTTATTTTATTGGTTATATATAACCAATAAAAGTTTAATAAGTACCTACCTATTTGCAAAATAAAGTTTAATTCTTTAGATAAAATAAAACGTTTTATTTTATCTGAAATGAGTGCATTCCACGAAGTAAGGGTTTCAACAATCAAACATTTAATTCTTTAATTCCAGGAATCTACGACAGTAATTGACTAGATAATTACCTTCTAAACTTATTCCACAGAAAATGTGATAGTGGGTTTTTCCATTTTGTAGGAAGGTCCAAGTGGCGTATTCAAAATTCTTAACAGTTCACTAAAAGTAGGTACTTCATTTGCAAGGTGCGGTTTATTGTGTATACTAGTGTTATGGAAAATTTGGAAGTGCCGTGTAAACGCCGAAAAATTGGTCCTTTAACAGTTAATGAAAAAACATTAATATTTAATTGTTTTAAATCATTTACAGACAAACGTTTATGTGAAAGTGTTGATGAGACCGTTGAGTTAGTTAGGAGTACACTTGGTGTTGGGAAATCTACGATTTACAGAGTTATTAAAGAAGAGAAATGTGGTAGTTTTCAAATGCCACGTAATGCTCCAGGAAAACCAAAATTTCAAATAGAATATCATTTTAAAGAAGGACTTCGACGGAAAGTGCATGAATTCATCTTTAGACAAGAATTTCCAACATTAGATAAAGTTCTTGTCTCAGTTCGAGATGATAAGGATTACCCAGAAATGAGTTGAAGTACGTTATGGAAACTTTTAAAAGAAATAGGCTTCCGCTGGAAAAAGAATCCCAGAAAGTCTATTTTATTAGAAAGAAGCGATATTGTCATATGGAGAAGACATTTTCTAAGAACCATAAAGGAAATGAGAAACCAAAAAAGAAAAATATTTTATCTTGATGAAACATGGATCAACGAGGGTCATACACCAAATAAATTTTGGCAAGATGAAACTGTTACAAGTCAAAGGCACGCTTTTGTAAATAACTTATCTACTGGTTTAAACCCACCATCAGGAAAGGGACGCAGGCTCATAATAGTACACATTGGCAGTTCAGACGGTTTTGTTGAAGGTGGTTTATTAACTTTTGAATCAACTCGTACCGGTGACTACCATGAAGACATGAACGCTGATGTCTTTCAAGAATGGTTCGAACAAATGATAGATCTTCTTCCTAAGAACTGTGTAATAGTAATGGATAATGCAAGTTATCACTCCAGACTTATAGAAGGACTGCCCACAACCAAGTGGTTAAAAAAAGACTTGCAGAATTGGCTGAGTTCAAAAAATATTACGTACCATCCCGGGTCTATAAGAAAGGAACTTTATTCGTTGTGTGCCCTTCATAAAGAAAAATTTAAAAAATACGAAATTGATGAAATTGCCAAAAATCGTGGAATGACAGTACTTAGATCCCCACCATATCATTGTGAATTAAACCCGATTGAACTGGTATGGGCACAGATAAAGAGTGAAGTTTCAAGAAAAAATACCACTTTTAAAATTCATGATGTTAAACAGTTGTTTTTGGAGGCCGTAAATAATGTAAAACCTGAAAACTGGGAAAAGGCAGTAAATCACACTATTAAAGAAGAGGAAAAAATGTGGAAGCTGTACAATATTACTGATACAATGATCGAGCCAGTTATTATAAATCTTGGTTCTGAAAGTTCATCTTCTGAATCTGATTTGGATTTGTAACAAGTAGCTGTAAGTTTTATATTAATATTTTTATTCATCTATTTAACATACCTTAGACGGTTTTAAAAACTCTTTTTCTCTTTTGTAATTTTTAAAAATTAAAAAAAAAGTGAATTTTTTAAAACCCTTTTTAATGTAGGCCAGTCAGTTCTAATATAGTGTGTGATAAAAGAGGTCACTTTTGTTTACATACACATAACACTTTATAACACTGAAATAATTCATTTATTTTTTACAATTATTCAAAGTAATTTTTCAATTTATCTTGAGCACGCCCATGGAGTGGTCGGAGATACCAGTTAAAATTATGCTAATTACTCTCTCGTTCATAAAAATAAACTATAACTTCGGCCCATACTAATTCAATAGGATTTAGCTCGCAATTAGTATTCGAAGTATTTCAATTCCTCGTTTTTTGGGTATTTCGTCCATGACATATTTTTTATAATTTTGTTTATTAATTTTACCAAGCTCTAATAATTCTGCTTTTGTCATTGTATCGTCAAAGATTAAATTCTTAGAACTTAACCACATTGCAATTTCATCTTTCCTCCGTTGAGTAGTTGGTAAACGTTCAACTAATCTAGAGTGGTAACTTGCATTGTCCAACACAATAACTGAATTTTTAGGTATGAATTCAATCATCTGTTCAAAATATTCTTCAAACACGTCTCCGTTCATCTCTTCGTGATAATCACAGGTCTTTTTTGATTCAAACAAAAGTAAACCCTCCTTAAGAAATCCATTCATACTACCTATATGGGTAACAATTAATCGTCGACCTTTACCTTTTGGTTCCTTGAAACCAGGTGAATATCCTTCCAGAAATGCTTGTCGACATGTTTTTATAGTTTTGTCTTTCCAAACTCTCCCTACAGTATGCCCTTCATTAACCCACGTTTCATTACCCATTAAGCATTGACTGTCTGCCCACTTTTTCGGGATCGTCGGTAATGGCTTCTAAAACTTTATCTAAAGTTGGTATTTGTTGGTTAAAAAAAATGAGTGGACACTTCTACAAATTGCATTTTTGAAAAATTCATCCACATTCGACAATTTTGGTCTTCCTGGTCTCGGTTTGGGTGGCGTTATACCAGCTGATTTTTCCTCTTTTAAAATGTTATATACAGTTGATTTTGAATATCCCATTACTTTAGACGAAATTTCAACTATACTATCAACAGTATTGGAAGGATTGTGTTGCTTAAAAAATTGTAGACGTTAAGAATAACACTCTTTTCGTTAAGTGATTTTCATATTCTATAAACTCACTATTCACTCTTGCAAAAAACAATTGTGTCAGATCTCTTCACTCGCTTATAATCGACTAAACAAAAATTTTGTGATATTAATGAATGACTATTTAAAGACCATTAACCATTTTATTAATCATTGGTTTTCCAAACAAAATCGAAATTTATACTATTTAAGATAGCGTTCACATTTATCAGAAACCATCTTTGCTAACCGACTTTTT